GCATCGTCGGCGTCATCTTTGTCATCTTTATCGTGCTGTCCTCCCCGGAGAGGAGCGACCCATCTGGAGGCGGCCATGGCTGGGTGTGGCTTGACGCGATCTACACCATCAGCTATGTGAAGCTCATTGTGACACTCATAAAATACACGCCGCAGGTGCTGGTGAATTATCGGAATAAGAGCACAAAGGGATGGAGTATTGTGCAGATCTTGTTGGATTTTAGGGGGGGTGTGTTGAGTATTGGACAGCAGGGGATTGATAGCTGGTTGCAGGGGGATTGGAGCGGGATTACGGGAACCCGGTCAAGTTTGCGCTGGGGAATGTGAGTATGATGTATGATGCCGTTTTTATCACGCAGCATTATGTGTTATACAAGGGGGGGGAGGGGAAGGATGGGGAGGGGGAGGGGGTGTTTGGGGCGCGCCGGCACGAGGAGAGGAGGATCGAGTAGGGCTGTGGTAGAAAGATGCTGCCTCGAGGCGGCTGGGATATACCTTATGGCGGCTGAGATGCCCTGGGCTGGTCCTTTGGGGCAGATGGAGGTTCGGGTGGTGCCGTTCAGAGACATGGTAGACCTAGACGGTCTGGAGTTTGGGTAAACAGTGGGAACGGGTCTTTCAGGATGCTAGATGGGGGAGAGAGGGAGGAAGAGGCAATGGGGGAGAGAAGACACGATAAGATACCCATGATCTGTCAAAGCGAATACATAATTGCTCCGTTTGGCTTATTCACCACATAGGACATCTATCCAGCAGACTGGAGTGACGCCCCACACAACAACCCTGTTTGGGGATGTGGTGGGTTATGAGAATTTAAGCATGAAAGAAGGTGAGGGCCAATATGGACAGGGTACTGGAGTTGTTGGAAGGTGGGTGGGTGTGGAGGGTGGTATGTATGTATACCGTGGTTGCTCCCTCTAGGCTGGCTAGCCTAGGGAGTGTTGACGCGTGCTGGTCGTTCACAGCTCGTCAGTCCAGCCCATGATCGAGGCCGCAGAGACTCTTAGTCTTCTTTGCTGTCACATTCTCGCCATGCTAAGGGTTCTCATGAACAGACCTGTCTCTCTACAGCGGCCAACAGCTCTCATCAGGGATATTTCAACTACAGTATGATGACAGAAAAGCGAAACTCTTTATGATCATCCCCCTTTAAATCAACAGCTCGCACTCAGGTGATTAAATACTCA